ATTACTAGTGTTAGTATGCTTGATAGACTTTACGTTTTCTTTCTATCAGTTTTACGTTCTTGACGAGATGACGAACTCGTTTACAATCTGCATTCACAAACCACCGAATATTCACAGTCTCCTATGATACAAAATGAGGCTCAAGGTCCTTCCACAAACACACCGTAGTAAAATGCGAGCCCCTTCACAGAACCTCCCTTTTTGTGCAAGTTAATTATCTGTATCACAACACCGAGGTTCAGGAATGTCTTCATATTTGAACGCCTCGAAATGATTTATATCAGCTGGTGAGGTTAACTACCGTGGTATGAAGATTACAATAATTATTGCGAGATCAAACATGGATAGTGTGCTGACAAGAACCGTAAAGATATCAACGGCGGTCCTGAACAATTGCGTGCGCATAGCAATACATAATGAGAACTCCCGAACATTCACTGCTAGTAGTTGTTGAACGATTCTCATGATCCCCCATGAAACAACTTGTTGGCCTACAATGTTTACTCAGGACTATGAAAGGGTAGCGTTGCCTTGCGGATCAGGCTTTGGCTAGCCGAAGGCTCCAATTGTGGATTCCTCAAGAATATTCATCTTCCTTGGCCTGGGCAACCTGGCAGTATTCCGCCCATATGCAAAGCATACAACGTTTTTCTTTTTTATAGAGATTATTGTGCCATGATTTACTTGGCGCAGTCTGGCGCCAGACGTGTGTAACATTTTATATATATATATATATATGGCCCCGATAGATTAGACATGGTATTGAACCGGACGACAGGGAAGCTATCTATCACCAAAGTTGGGTGATGGTTGCTTTGAGAGTAACGGCACTTTTTCTTTTTACTTCCTTTTATTAAATATACAAAGATACAATTATCAGGAAGGGGGAAGCGGCTAATCAAAGGGCTGTCATACAACACACAGAATGTGGAAAGTCAGGCAGTGATGGTGGGATTCGAACTCACATCCACGGGATGATAATACGGTTACCACCGGGCCACCACCGCGGATAGGGCAATGTATCCGTCATGCAGAGTTGACGCGCCGCCCACCGCTGGAAAGCGTTTTAGGCGCCTCACAGCTGCTCCATCCGTCAAATACACTGGGACTCGAACCTGAGAACGAAGTGATAACCGCCTGGGTTATCTGAGGTGGTTCTCAGTAGATAGGTACACGTCAAGACTAAATAATACAGCACTCGTACGTCAGTGTCGTTGAGAGTACCCACGTGTAGGAGCCAATAAGCGCCCTTCAAACTGTTTTGTTTTGTGAAAACCAATCGAACGAAGGACAGGTGAACTCAGGTGGTTGGTTGAACTGACAATAATCAAGACGGTTAAAAACAATCCAATCAATTGATCGTTTTGATTATGGATTCCCATGTACATCCTCGTCTCAATAAATATTCATGCTTTTTCCATAATAGATGAATTCCTATGCATTTCCAGCTCTATTCTAGTTCACCTGTGAAATAGCTATTTAGACGGGAAAAATTAGCGGAAGGTGATCATTTTAGAATTCGGTGTTGAGCCTAATCCGTGTGGTTATAACAACCCAGATCTTACCAGGCAGCGATGAACAAATAGCAGACATCAGTCCATTTACCGCGCATCAGCTTATCACTTCTTCCGTCTGTCCATACAAGATAAAGCACAATCTATGTTTCAAGCTTATCACGAGCAACTTACCCCGATCATTTTGACTTTTTAAACTATTTAAATAATAAAATGCCTACGTCATTCAAGCCCCATAGAGAAAAAGCCTGTCCAGGGCAAGATGACAGATCAAATACCGGCCATTCCAAAAATGTTCGGTGCGTAACGCGGTGGGCTGGTATACGTGATATGAGTCTAAGACGCCAGTTGGAGAGTAATTTCATGGTACCACACATCCGACTTGTGCACACAATATGGTCGAAAAACACGCGTAGTGCTCCGATGACAATATTGAAATATAACACAGAAGTCGATAGGCGCGTGTTTGAATGTATTCACATGCGTAACTTCAGCTTTTCTTCATCGAGAAGAGTTAAATGGACCAGGCTAAAAGTGAGAGGAAGTTGTTCGCCTCGTCTCAGCGTTGACGCGCACACAGAGACGACTAGGTGGCACTGAATTGGTACAGAAAAGAGTACTGGAAAGGAACTAATGAGCGCATGGAAAAATGAGGAAACAATTGGCTTTCGCCGCTAAACCAAAGAGACAGGTAATGTATGATTGCAAACAGCATGTAAACGTATTTTACAATTGATCTATCAGTACAAACTCTAAGTAAGGCCAAGCGATGAAAATGAGATGGACTGTGAATAGGGAAGGTGCAGACGAGTCTATCGTTTACACACATCTGATGTGTTGCTCTCACACACGGACCGGATTGTTATGACCGTCGGAGACTAGTGAGGCAGATTCCTCCGTTTGATCCAATTCGACTGCTTCAGGATGGGCCTCGGATTGTGCACGCCATAAGGCGGCGTACTGCCCGTTGGGAATGGCTAACAATTGGTCGTGTGTTCCGCGTTCAATCACTTCACCCTGATGCATCATCAGAATCTCATCGGCATGCACGATGGTGGAAAGACGATGAGCGACGATCAAAGTGGATCGATTGCGAGAAATATTGTTCAAACTGGCTTGAATATTTCTTTCTGTAGTTGTATCCAGAGCCGAAGTTGCCTGAACCGAATGAACATCCAATCAGCATAAAGTTCATCAGTTACATAACAAACGTGATTAACTGTATGAAGACCAATGTGCAATGATATGAATAGAAATATTAAAGCTATTGTTTTAGCATTCAAACTCTAAGGGATGCAAGTTAAAAAAATGTTCGGCAACGTTTCCTACAAATTTCATGCAACCAGTTCCTTTTAACATTTTCATGAGAGCAAGAAGAAGCATCATGACCACAGGATGTTGAATTCAACTATTTCGTGGTAATCTTATCAGCTGTGTACATACATTCGGATCACGTTTGGTTAAAAAATGGACAGGTTTGGGGACAGGCGAACACACACGGGGAAGAAAAATCAATCATTACGAAGGCCAAAGGTCACTAATATGAACTGGATTGGGCATAGGGGCAGGGAGCGGAATCACTGCAGGGTGAGGGAGGGGAGGAGGACAGTGGCACCTACCAGGGTAGAGCGAGGCTTGCCACAAATTCGGTTTGTTTACATAAATCGGGCTTGTACCGTCGAATGGCAGCCGCTTCAGCGAACCATAGTAGACGGCTACTTTTCTGGCGGATCAAGACATGAAAGACGTCCTTAGGTTTGTTGCATTCTTTGCAACCCATTATATATCGGGCGATTGAATTGGACGGAACCTTGGATCCATTAGACGCCAAATGTTCCGGGACATGCTCTGCTATCCTGGTAGACATTCGATCCTCAGTTCTTCCTAACTACTTACTACCGCAAGTACATTGAAATAGGTAAACACAGGAGGGGGTAACTGAAGAGTCGGGTTTGTCTAGATTGAATTCAGTGAGCACTCGCTTCGTATCGTGCAGTATTATAAGGGAGGTAGCGTTATACGTTCTTTCAATCGCTTCTTTCAGCCTGCACTGTATTCGCCTATCATTTTGATCACCTTGAAACGATATGGTGACAAAAAGTTTTTTTGAGGCGGGGTCACTTTGTTTTAGTTATTTCAACGGCGCTCCATACTTTGAAATAAAAGTTTTAGGGTATACATTTTCGTGCAGTGTCGTGGATATGTAGCGAACATCGAACTCTAACGTTTCACTGGAACAGATTATCCTGGCTCTAGAGAATAAACTGTGTACTAACGATCGTTTGTATTGTA